AACATGACGGCAAACAATTCCCTCTGTGTGTGTCGTGTGTGTGTGTGGGTTGTGTGGTGTGTGTGGGTTGGTCTGTCTGGTCTGCAAAGACCTGATTGGACAAAGGCTTGCCACGCGAGAGCAAGACACCCAACAACATTTAAAGGGGATGAAAAGGACAGAAGGGAAATGGCAAACCCTGAACAATGGGTAATTACACACACACAACACACACACACACACACACACACCACATAAATGCGGAAAACATTGATAAACTTGGATTGCAAAAAACCTGAACCAAAAAGCAATTTTCCCTTTGCGGCCAAACATATTAAACACAAAAGCCTCCTTTTCATATTAACCCTATTTGTAATTAAAGCCAAGGACACTAAATTTCTACAAAACAACTGTAGACACATACAAAAACATGATATGGTCTCCTGGAGTCAGAAGTAATAGGAAGGCATGCAGAGATATTTAATCAAGTAAAGGGTATGTGAAAAACAACAAGATCAAATCTCTTCTTCCTTAGGGAAGCAAAAAAACCAGAGGGAAAAAATATTTACTCCCCTTTCAAACTACTTTCGTACAAACGCATATCACACACACACACACACACACACACACACACACACACACAGCCACACAAACACACAGACCAACGCACGCACACACATACTCTCCCAGTATGCAAAACACTCACCGTGTGTTAAGTGTATGTGTATGTGGGTATGAGTCGTCCCTTGCCAAAGTGCAGCGCTCCAGTGAGAGGCCAAACTCTGCTGTGGCTCTGGAGGCTCCCTGCCTGCCCCTCCCACCCATGCCTGTCATGTGACTCTGCACGCAAGGCAACGAGACACACCCACTTCCTTCAACTAAACCCCCGCCCCCTACACACTCTAACAAAGACACACACAAAAAAAAAGGCAACTTTAGCAGAGCAAGTACAGCAAACGTAGGAGTTTAAAGATTGTTTAAGAGGAGAGAGACAAACTAACTGAGATATAAAGAAGTTGGGTGATTGGAGTTACAAACATAGACAGTGTGGTTAGAAAGCAAAAGGCAGTGAGTGTGTACACTGCAGCAGGCTGACTTCAACCTTTGGGCCAGCTCAATGTCCCTCTCCTCAACTCCCGGGATGATTTACAACACTAATTACCTGGCCTGACCCTCTCATCTGCTCCTCAGGGTTTGCATTCATCGCATCCCACTCATTCCTCTAACACAGAGCTGAAACCCATCACACATCACATCAAACTCCTGGGATCCCCCTTTGTCATTACATCAGTCAGTGCGCTGATCAAATTTGCTTTTAGTTTTCAACATACTAACAAACACTTGGGTTATCAGTACCACCAGCCATGAATCAGGGCTACGCAGTTTGGGGAATATGTGCTGCAGAATGAGCAAAGGATATGGAGACATTTGCTCTTTCTCAAAAAGGAGAAAATGTGGAAAAAAGCTGGGGTTTGAGGTATTGCATAATTCCACAGTAACTGAACTGAAATGTTTTGGCAACAGTGAATAACCCAGCAATAAAATCCTCACAAACACATTTCCAATCAACAGAAAAACACTACTAGCGTGATATAAAAAGATCTGTATTATCTATTAGGCTATTATCAAATTATTTTCCATTTGCACGACAGAACAGTAAATACAGTTATAATAATAATAATTAATCTAATAATTTTGAGAAGAATGGATAGTAAAACTCAAAAGGTGCCTCAACAGTTGCAGTTGATTTTTGGCAGCTGTCACTTTTTTTCTAAAAGAAAAAAAAAAAAAAGGGCAAACCAATTACTTTGGCTAATTACTATTCTTATGGGGTATGTATATTTTGTGATTACAGACAAGAGGAAACAGCTGTCTCCAGCCTCACAGGAAGTATAATTATACACCGGTGCAAGGGGCTAGAGTGCAACCTTACAGCCACACGAGCAGACACATATGCACACACAGGGCACCACCTGCATTCTTCCAGGTGAAGAGTCACATTTCTGGAAAAAAAAACAACAGGGCAACAAATAAGGATTTGCTTTATTTTATTACATAGCCTTAGCTGCCAAGATAAACGCCAAGATAAACTCTTCTCCTAGCACCTCAGTGTCGAATGCCTGCAACACCCAGTGCAGAATTTATACCATGTCCATCTGACCAAAATGAGGCATCGTCATGGGCCTTCAAAATTCTGCACTGTAGCAACATACAGTATTTAAAGCTCTTTAACTCCGTGTTGATTCTGGCAGCCCCTGCGGACAAAAGTGGTCATGTTTCCACCACCGTGATTCATTGATTTCAAGAGGAATCTGACCAAATCCAACCTGGTGGCAGACATTAAGAGCAACTATATAGAATGTTCTTATCTATTGTATCTATCATTATTAGTTTATGTATGTCATACAGAGGCATCAGTATTAAAGTGCGTTCCATAACCTGTTTACAGTATGTTTGAACACACACATGGTAGGGCCATCTGTGTTTGTGTGTATGTGTGTTGAATTTGTGATCAAAGTGTGATAAAAAAAAAAAAAAAAACAGGTCTTACCAAATAAGGAGTTGAAATAAACCCTAGTGATATTTAGTTTTACAATGCGGGACACGGTACATTTTCCCCAAACTAAGGGCCCCCCTGTCTTAAAACCGTTCTCTCTTCTCTCTTTTCATCTCCCTTTCTCTGAAACTCCACTTTATCACCCCCAATAAAAACCTGGTGTTTAAACTGGAAAGTGCAGATAAAACTGACAGGAGTTACTAGTGGGTTTAGAAGCTACTAGATCGAGTTTACTGGTCTCGGCTAGCTGGTTATTAAATCGCCTCAGCCCCATTTTTGTGTATTTAACAGCATATCCCACTGGAGTTCTTGAAGCCTAGATTTGTGTTCTTTACAAAGCTTTCCTGTGGATCATGCAGACATGACCAAAGCAGGATATAACACAAGCACTGTGTTGACTCCGTCCACACATCTCTACATAAAATAAAAGAAGCCACAGTGTTGTAAACTGAAACAGACAAAACAAAATTATTTCTATATCAAATAAACAGAGGCAAACAAACGCAACGTGTTTTTGCCGTCTTCGTCCGTCTTCAATGGAAAACAACATGTAACACAGAAATCCAGTGTGTCATAGCAAAAGCTACACTGTTGTTTGAAAAGATAAATGAATGGGCTAAACCGCTTTGTGCCAACTGCGAGCTCTAAACACTTCTCTCGTCACTTTCCAGCAACTTATCTCTGCAGGCTAACTGCTGCTAAGTCTGTGTCGGCTTAAAAAAACCGATGTACTGTAAGCTGACACATGACGTTATTAATAGGTTAAAAAAAGATTTCCATTCTCTCCAATTCGAAGCTTCTTCTTAACTGACGCTGACTCCTGAGTGAACCCTGCATGCAGTCAGAGCGAGCCAACCATCGTTTGTTTGATCCGACATAACTTGGCGTGCTTCTGTCTTACGGAGTTGCTGCCCTGCTGGGGACATGGCCTTCTCAGATAGAACGATCTTCATCTTGAGGAGACGGGGGATGGAGTGACAGAAAGCCAATGGCAGGCGCTGATGTTTCTAGGCCCGCGCTGAGCCAAGATGGTGTCATGTATTGGCAGGCGGAGTACAGGGCTGCCTGGCTGACCCCTGCTCCTCACAGCTGTCCAAGGTCTTTCATAACACAGAAACATGATGGATAGAAGTAGCATGACTCACTGGGTGCATTATATTAAATGCATTACTGTCTGGTCCCTGCAGAGTGAAGTGAATGCTGTGTATGAACATTTGTGTTTATAATACAATGCTATCAAAAAGGGAACACACAGAGACATCTTGTGCCCTGCAAGTTTGCTAAATTAGCATACAGTGGGTTTTAGTGCTTTAAAACAATAGACGTTTAAAAAAAGACCTTCAGAAAAATGACGAGGGCATCGTCACACAGGATCGTTTGTACAATGCTCTTGTGCTCCCCATGTGAAAGATGTGGGTGGTGACCACAGAGAAACTAAATGTTTCCTTTGTGTGTGTGTGTTTTGAATCTTTTGCCTTTCCCAGAGGGAATTACCACAGCCTCCATACAGGATATCCAGAGATCTGTCTCTGTATGTACGCATCTGTGTGTGTGTGTGTGTGTGTGTTACAGGAGGTGTCACATGGATCCACTTCTCTGGGAAAAGCGGAAGCATTTCCCTGGTTTAGATGATTTATAGTAAACAAAAAACAAACATTTAAAACAGCTCCCCCACACTGAACTGTGCCATGTGCTGTATGTATACAAACCGAGTGAGACAGCTGATCTGCTGATCGGTGTGTTTCTAAATGTACATCGTAATGGGCTTTAAAAGGAGCACTGACACTTTCACGAGCTCCAGGTCTGACACCGTCCAGGTGTGTGAGACCAACTACCTGTGTGAGAGCATCTCCTGCTGGTCGCTGCTAGAGTTGCAACAGGGCTATTAAAAGCAACACTTGTTTAACTAGTTTCATTTACACAGAAATGGTTACCAAGCTACGCCTGCTTTCACACAAACACGGAGATCAGATTAAATGGATCAGATACTTGGTCGCAGCAGACTTATGCAGGTGAGCTCTCTTACTTTAACTTTACCATGACACTATTTCACAGGATTGGTGAAGCTTTTGACTCAAGTTCTCTTTGTAAGTGTTCTCTCCTCTTTGCTTTACTATCCCTCCATTACGGTTTGTGGAAACATGAAGAGAAAGAGGGAATTTGTAGTATAAAAGGAGTGTAACTTTGCAGCTGTAGTTTCATATTAACTTCAGGTTAACTTGGAATACATTTCTGCACAGAACGAGGACTATAAATGTTGTCACCTATCTCAATTTACAAACACGTACGGATTAAGAATATATGTACGAATAATGCTGGCAATATTTTTTTTAAATATCTATACAGGATGATGAAGATGTCAG